CGTTAATGATACAATTTTGGAAAATGAGCGTGGCACCGCCCACTTCTGATCACATATATGTATCTCGGTAACCGTTCTACCAATTTGTACCAACACCCGGTATGGTTATTGTGCTTGCCACATAAAAGCAAAACGTTGAAAATTATTGAAATCAGACTAAAATTACGGCCGCTTTTCATATAACGATAAATTTCAGAAATGCTTGAAACTTCAATATATCGAAATTTAAGGACGCTAAGTTACTCAAAATTGATACACCCCGGCTTACCATGTAGCGGTAGCTTTCGGAAAGGTGAAAAACATATATTTAATACTTGCGCCGGGTATTTAATGTTCGGCTCCGCCCGAACTTAGACTTTCTTACTTGTTTGAATTAAGTTTTTGGCGGCCGCTGGTCAAAGCAACATCGCACAAAAATTAAAAAAAGTTTGTTTTTAACAGCGGTCGCCCCTCGGTAGGCAATGGCAAACCTCCGAGTGTATTTCTGCCATGAAAAAAAGCTTCTCATAAAAATACAATCGCCGTTCGGAGTCCGCGTAAAACAGTAGGTCCCTCCCCTTTGTGTTACATCATCAAGGTGCACGCCACAAATCGGAGGAAAAGCTCCGCCAAACACTAACATAAGTATAAGCCCCAATCTATTAAGTTATTGAAAAATAATGAATATCTAAATCTCGGGATAAATCCCGGGATTGTGATAACGAGATCCCGAAAATCCTGGGATCGTAAAAAACGAAAAGTTTAACATCCCTAATGTAGAACCTAACTTAGGGGTTACGCCGGGCAATATTGTCATGACAATAATGTCAAAATGATGTGTTTGTTGTAAACACGGCGAATTAATAATACAATAATAATTGCATGCGATTTAACTTGTTTATGAACACGTTTTGTTCATTTAACTGGTTCAAGCCTATTTAACATGTTTAGCTCGTTAATTTGAACGTAGTATTAAAAAAAATCCAAAAAAACCTGTACACCTTGTTTAGAAATGACCGAAATAAATATGTATGTATAAGTTTTATATTTATTTTCACCGTTATTCACATTTAACATTGTTGAATTGTGCCGGGTACAACGTGCACCGTCGAGATCGCGAGCGAGATAATGGTGGTGGCTTAGCGTTCATCACGCACCACACCGTGCAGTATCGTCTTATCGAAGCAGACATCGACCGCAGGGATACAACCCTAGAATGTCAGGGCATTGCTATCCGGTCAAGCGATGTTGAGCTCGAAATATTTAACGTGTACATACCCCCTGTCATCTGCTGCCCGGCAGGATATCACCCTGATATAGGTGCGCTCCTCAGAGGTGAAAACCGGTTGGTAGTAGGTGACTTTAATGCGCACCACGATCTTTGGCACTCAAGCCTGTCAAACGATCATAGGGGAACTGATTTGGCTGAGCAGATAGACGATTCGACATTCTGCACAATGAACGACGACGCACCCACCAGGATTATGGGCACCTGCTGCAGCTCGCCAGACATAACAATAGTCAGCGCTGGTCTGATAAACAGCATATCATGGCGACCTATGCTGACTTTGGCATCAGACCATCTGCCCATAGTCATCTCGATCGATAAACCAACCGACTTTGCTTGCGCGGAGCAGCGAACCTATATCAACTTCTCTAAAGCTGATTGGAAAGGCTTCGCGGAATTTACTGAAAACACCTTCCCTGCTCTCCCCACACCAACCGACGACAACCTTGGTGAACGTAAGTTCCGCAGGGCTGTCACCGCTGCTGCAGCTCGCTTCGTACCGACAGGATGCATTACAGAACCACGTCCAAATTTCCCTGCCGAAGCGGCTGTTCTAGCCGATGAGCGTGACAGCCTCCGTCAGGCCGATCCCGGAGATCCCTGTATCAGGGATCTCAACGCGGAGATTCGACAACAGAGCCGCGGAGCACGACGACAGAGTCGAAATTTCTTTCGGAGACCATGCTTCGTCGGACCCGGAGCGATGCGCGAGCTATTTTAGCCGGCAGTTCATACTGCATCCTCCGGTGGACAAAGCCAAGTGTCGAGTGACCAGAAGGCTGCACAAACTGCCAACAACTTGTGCCCCCCTTGCTTTCACTTGCGGTGAAGTTCAGGTGGCCATCGGGAAGGCGAAAGCCTCCAAAGCCATGGGTCCCGACGGAATATGCATGCTGATGCTAAAAATTTGGGTCCTGCGGGAGTAGCGTACCTAACGGAGGTACTCAATTTGTCAATGGCCACTCGCATCATCCCAGACATCTGGAAGGTGGGGAGAGTGGACCCAGTGCTCAAACTGGGGAAACCCGCCAACAAAGGAGATTCGTATCGACCGATAACACTCCTTTCCGCGGTAGCGAAGACACTTGAGGCCCTGCTGCTCCCGTATATCACGAACCACCTTACCCCAGCGAAGCCTCAGCATGGTTTCCGTAAAGTGCACAGTACAACAACAGCACTAAACCCCATAAACACTCAGATAACTCTTGGCCTTAACCGTAACCGTCCCTCTGAGAGAACGATTCTAGTAGCGTTGGACCTGTCAAAGGCATTTGACACTGTCAGCCATTCCACGCTACTAGAAGATATAGAGGCTTCCTCTCTCCCAAAGAGGCTCAAACGGCGGTCGGCAAATTATCTGAGTGGTCGACACTCGTCGGTAATGTTTAGAGACAAATAGAGCAAACTTAGGAAAATAAAACAGGGGGTTCCACAGGGTGGTGTCCTTTCCCGCTACTGTTCAACTTTCATATTTCAAAGCTCCCTCAACCACCAGAGGGAGTCTGGATTGTCTCTTACGCCGACGATTGCTCGATCATGGCGACTGGGAATGGAATTGATGACTTGTGTTCGTAAGTAAACGGGTATATCCCCGATCTTTCTCGCTTCTTCACTGCAAAGTGTCTAGCCCTCTCCCCTACGAAATCCTCTGCGACCTTGTTCACCACCTGGACGAAGGAGGTCAGGCTATCGCTGGGAATTCACGTCGATGATACACTAACTCCGACGGTGAATAACCCCAAAATACTCGGAGTAACATTCGACAGCCTGTTCTCCTTCTCTGCGCACGCAACCGCTATTGTCAACAAAGTACAGAGCCGCAACAAGGTCCTCAAGTCGCTAGCCGGCAGTACTCGGGGCAAAGACAAAGAAACGTTGCTGGCAACATAAAAGGCAATATGCCGGCCGGTTTTAAACTACACAACACCAGTGTGATCGCCGTGGACTAGAAGGACGCAGTGGATGAAGCTACAGACAACACAGGACAGCGACTGGATGCCTCCTGATGTCACCTGGACACCACCTCTATGACGAGGCGAAAATGCTCCCAATCAAGGAGCATAACATAATGCTCTGCAAGCAGTTTCTGGTTGGAAGCCACAGATGTGGCCACCCAAAGAGACAGCTGCTTGCAGAGGAGCCCTCGCCTAGGTACGTCAGGAGGCATCTATACGAACTGACAGACGAAGTCCAGAAGTTCATCAAGCAGCCTCTGGTCCCGTCAGCATACCGACAGGCCCTGAACGGCATTCACAGGGACTCAGTCTCGAGTTATGTAGACTCTAGACCTGTGAATGCCGTTCTAGGCACACAACCACCGGACACTGACGTGACGGAGCTCCTTCTGATGTGCCAAATGAGTGCCCGGCGAAACATCTCTTCGCATGACCAGAAAACCCGACAACCCTAACGGCTTTGTCCCTGTGGACCGACCCTGTAGAGGCTGCACGCTTCTTAGGGCTGCCGTTAGTGGAACTCGACGACAACGACTGAGATATCAACCGATCTGGGCGGGGTTGTTGTAGCCGCTACAACAACAACAACGACATGCCAATTTTTGGTCAATATCTTAGGCTCGCCCAAGTCCATTAAAGTTCAATGTGCTCAAAAAATAAAAATTAATAAATACATTAATTAATATATTTTTTTTTATAAAATTGCAAGTATCTTCGAAAGTATTAGTCCTACATAATTGCGTATATGGACCTTTTTTGTAGATAATTGAAGTAAGCTAAGAACAAATTTTTTTAGCACTTGAACTTTGATGGACTTGGGCGAGCCTAAGATATTGACCAAAAGTTGTCCTCTTTCACACAGATAGTGTTTAGAGCATAATGAACCATATTTGTGCTATTACCAATCAAAATTCTAAAAAAGCGGATTTTCGGCCCAAGCTATTGAACATACATATCTACTAATTATACAAATATTAGGATATCACTTCGGTCTGCTCCATACTTCATGAATCTCGAAATGGTGGCACGTAGGCAGAAAGTTGTGATTCATGGCGATTTACTGTGATTGTAAAACAATGGGTGCACATACAAAAATACATGCATATGTGTGTACATAAGTACCTACACGCATAGGTATGTGCATATGAACATCCATATATGTATACTCATGTACATATGTATGTACATACGTACTTTCATCAAGACTTACAACTAAAATGGTGATATGGACGATTTTTTAATTCAAATACGTATAATGCTGCGCTTCAGGTATACTCAAACTCGACTTCTTATGGCATTATAAATATGCTTTTATTAATCAATTAACAGGTGGCATTAAACAAAATAACCAGAAAGATGTGGACATTAGCATATCGTTGAATGATGACAAACCTCTACCAACACTTTTACGATCGAAGACAAAATATATTTTGTATTTAGCAAACGCTAGCGCCAATACATCCATATGTACTACACTACCTCCCTGCCCGCCCACTGAACCTCGACCACAACGCTTATAACGATTAATTTTGTCGCATATTGCATACCATTCTCCCCGCCTAGTACATCTTATAGCTCGTTCTTAAAAATATTCGGACATGTCGACCGATTACCCTTATGCACTAACCAAAAAAATCTTCAAACAACGCATTGTGAAACGATGGACAACTACCTTTTATTCGCACATTCTGGGCAACTGCCCCACCCGCATACATCTACATACCTCACTTATTTTTTCAATAGCCGCAACTATCATTAGCACAATATTACATACTTACTTCCTTGTTACCGGACATTCCGCTAACGTACACCTTCAACACCATTTTTACGAGTTTAAATTCGTTCAGCAGCTCAATTTATTGCAAATATTTTTTTAGATAACTTTCAACCGAAGTTCACTTCTTTCTTTATTTTTCACCGTTGTCGTTTCTAAAATCTCAACTGCGACTCTGTGTCTCTACTTGCTTGTCCACCTTCGATACCAATTTCTAATGCGAAAGCAATAAAACTACCACCAGCTTTTGTTTGACGTGTATAGTTATTGGAAACCGTTTAATTTTATTTTATTTCACTCGAATAAATATTGAACTGATGCTATTTTTACAAGCTTTTTTTCTTATTAGACTTTTCTGATTTATGACTTTTCTTCCCGGATAGAGGTGCAAAAAAAGTCGATTCTGGCATCGGTACATCGATTTTTTATTTTTTTACACAACATCGATGTCTGTGGGGTGGAATCGATTAAAATCGAAGAAAGTTCCATCGCCACTTGTAAAAGTGAAGGCCCTACGGGCACTGTCTCACGATCAATATGGATCGCGATCCAGTACTGGCTGAACGCATGAACCAAAAATACAAGATAACGCACTCTTCTTAGTAGCCCGTTATAATCGCATTTATGAAAAAAGTAGGGCGATTTTGACATTAGCCGTTTGTTTACATTTGTTCGCCTTTTACAATTTGGTGGTGGCTTTTTCTTAATTTTCGCTTGTGACAACGTGTGTACACATAATGGGGTTTTCGCACCAAGCGATTTTTCAGGCAACTTTTGCGTTCAACTCACGCAGGGTTGCACGAAAAAAAAATGTTATGGCTAAAAATATCAAAATATAAAAAAATATCAAAATATTCGCCATAAAAAGGCGTTTGCATTGTTCAGCTTTGCATTCTTCTTTTGGTTGAACGGCCTTTCAACTAATCGCTTTCAGCAAAGTTGGTCGCCAGCCAACATTTAGGGCCGGTTACTCAATGTCTGGTTAACACAAACTGCGGTTAAACATCGTTATCGACGTCTACGACTCCATGCATACAACAGGGAGTCGGTAACGTCGATAACTATGTTTAACCGGGGATTAGCGTTAACTAGACATTGAGTAACCGGCCCTTAGCCATTCAACTATTTTTTCGTGCAACCTGCGTGAGTTGAACGCAAAATGTTAACGCAAAATCGCCGCGTGCCAACACCTTTTAAGGTAAAGAATAATTTAACGCAACGACATGATTTATAGAATGATTTTCGTAATAAAAATTATAGCTAGAAAATAACTTTTTTTTTTCTTTCGTTCGCGCGTGATCTTGAGTCTTAAGTTCATGGGATGAACAGAATGGCGAGGCTGAGGTATCTACCAAGATTTGTCAGAAGTTAAAATATTCTAAATGCTCTAAACTGCCCACAATATGTAGCTGTCGTTGTGGTGCACTATCGCTGATGTAGCTAGCGAAATAGCTTGTGGCTATGGTTGTTGTTGTGGCGGTACTATATTCTGGTTAGCCAGGTATGGTGTTCCATATTGATGCACCACTCTCAGCTATGATACACCTTTAGGGCCGGTTACTCAATGCCTGGCAGAGCTGTAAAATGATTGAATCAACATAGTCTGCATTCACTCGGCATTCCTTTCAAAATGTTGATTGTTGGTTTGTACAAATAAAAACTTCATTCCTGAGTGGCTTAAAATATTTGAAAACAAACAAACTGTGTTTTGTTATTGAATGCTAGATTGCCATTCAGTATAGAATGTGAATGTTCAGCAGCATTCGCACTCACACATGATTGTATATTTAGAATGAATGCACACTTTTTTTTACCATTCAGTACCAATAATTTGTTCCCAGGGTTGATATATTTTATACTTTAAAGTTTGAACATATCTGGAATTGAACTCAAAAACAAATATTTTATTTCCAAAGCAACTTATCGCAACCGTAGAGCAAAACAGACACATTTTGACATTTTTAGACATTTTTTCGCAGAAGAATATACAAAATTGATTTATCACAATTATTTTTGTACTAAATATTTTTTTCACAGTATACAGTGATCCAGGTAGCCAAAACAAAAAATGTAAACATGCTTATTTGACATTTTGTTTGAATGTATTGGTTGATATTTTTTCACAGTTGTCGTTTTCGTTAACCCAAATGAAATCCAATTTAAATATTTTCTTATAGTGAAAAATATTTTCAAGTCACATAAAATAAAATAACGAGAAACACGAAATTCCAAGCAAATGAAGCGTGAAGCGTTAGCAATTATGACCGGATGCAGTTCCTACATAAGTCAAACCGTGTTCTGAACACAACTTTGAGTGAATAATGGTGGGCTGACTTTGTAAAATGGTCCCACCGATTAGGCGGTAAAAGAAGTATTACTTAGCTTATGGTACAACTCTCCAATTTTCAAATGCACGTAATTTGTGTGTATTTGTTCAGCCGATTATTCACATTTGAAAGAGGATAATGCATGAATTAATGCAAGTAAAGACGGTTTATGCAGATAAGCGAACGCGTTTGTTAACCGTATAAAATGTATGTACGTATATACACATATATTCAGAATGACGAGATGAACTAGTTCAGCCCTCTCTGTTTGTAAACGCGCTAACTCGAAAAAAATTTAGTTATTTTAACGAAAGTAGGTGTCGAAGTTGCCTTTGGTATAATTTAGGTTAGTGTTAAATTTTGTCGAAATCTGCCAATAACCACGCCCACCTCCCACGTAGTAATTAACAATATTTTTGTTTTATTATAATTTGTTTTACGAATTTTGCTGTTCAAATTTACATTTCAAATATATCAACAAACATTTGTAGGTACTTTTGCACCAGTTGTTGCCTATGGGTTAATCACAGTATACAGTAAACCAGCCATTGACAATATGCTTATTTGAAAATTAATACATGAAATATTGTGAATGTATAGGATTTTTTGTCATTAACCCATAGGCAACGACTGATGTAAGAGTACCCACAAATGTTTTTTGATATATTTGAAATGTAAATTTGAACAGCAAAATTCGTAAAAAAATAATAAAACAAAAATATTTTAATTACTACGTGGGAGGTGTTCGTGGTTATTGGCAGATTTCGCCAAAATTTAACACTAACCTA